GTTAGAAATTAAAATAGTTTAAAAATGACTATTGGCGAATCGGACGTCCACATGGTCAATCGGACGTCTACTTTGACTTTGACTTTTTTTTTTTTGGAAAAAATATGGGCTTTTGAAGGAGTAAGTAACATTGTAAAAAGTTTAAATATCAAATTGAAATTCTTACCATTTGAAAAATAATTATTTTTTATGCAAGTATTTTTATGAAATAATCTTTTCGTGCATAAAACAATTTTTGAACTTTTATGATTCATTACTAAATATCAAAGTATTAGTATTTTCATATTTGAATTAAGAAGTCTAGTCTTTGATCTTGTTTCGAAATTTACCTCTTAGACTTCTCCTCTTGATCTTGCTTTTTCTTGACGTTTCGTCTTAAGCTCTCGTCTCGAATGATTTGACTTGAATGCTTAACTTCCAATTTGATCTTCATTTCAAGTCCGATTTATAATATGTTGATTTTGGCAATACTTGATTGATTTTAACATTGAACTATCATCACTCAAAATCAATTGTTAGAAACAATATTATTCCTATTTGTTATTATCAAAACATTAAGGATAAAATCAACCATAAGTCAACGGACATTGATGAGACGATATATATGGTACAACCGAAAATTTTTGTGTCAAGAAACTCAAAGAAAATGGTTTGCAAATTAAAGAAATCTATCTATGGGCTTAAGCAGGCTTCACATCAACGGTATCACAAATTTCATCAAATAATCATCCCGTTTGGATTTGAGATGAATGTGGTTGATGATTATTTATACCACGTGTTCAGTGAGAATAAGTATATTTTCCTAGTACTGTATGTCGATGACATACTGCTTACCTGCAAGGATATAGGCCTATTGCACGAAATCAAGAGATTTCCATAAAAGAATTTTGAGATAAAAGATATTGATTACGCCTTTTTTGTATTAGTGATTCAGATACATCGGGACCGTTCTCGTGGTATTCCTAGATTATCACAAAAGGGCTATATCGATAAATACTTAGGAGATTTGAGATGCATGATTACAAACCAGGTGATACCCCTTTTGCTAAGCGAAACAAGTTTAATCTCAATCAATACCCTAAGAATGACCTTGAAATAAAGGAGATGCAGAAAATTCCCCATGCTTCAACAATTGGGAGTTTAATGTATGCTCAGGTATGCACGCGTCAGGATATTACATTCATTGTTGGAATGCTAAGCAAATATTTAAGTAACCTTGTGATGGATCATTGAAAGGCAGCCAAGCGGGTTATGCGGTATTTACAGAGAACAAAAGATTACACACTTACGTACAGAAAATCAGACCAATTGGAGATCATTGGCTATACTGATTCTGATTTTTCTGGATGTCAAGAAAGTAGGAAATCCACGTTAGGTTATGTTTTCCTGCTGGCTGAAGGAGCTATATCCTGGAAGAATGTCGAGTAGACACTCATAGTTTCTTCAACCATGGCAGCAGAGTTTGTAGCGTGTTATGAGGCATCCATTCAAAGAATATGGCTGTAAAATTTTGTCACTAGGCTATAGATTATACATGGAATTAAAAGACCACTTAACCTATTTTGTGACAATAAGTCAACAGTCTTATATTCAAATAACAATAGGAGTTCAACAAAATCTAAATTTATAGACACCACATTCCTAGTTGTTAAAGAAAGAATTCAGAGTGGTTAAGTTACTATAGAACATATTGGGACAAATTCCATGATAGCAGATCCATTCACAAAAAAGTCTACCATCCAAAGACTTTCACGAGCACACAGCTCACATGGGTGTTGTAAATTTTGATGATATACTAGTTTAGTGGGAGTTTGTAACTTTTGATGTTTTTTTCCTGACATATGATTTTTTATTTTTTAATTTTTTTTTTTGTGTACATTCAAGTTTATTTCAGTAATAAAGTATTCAACTTATTTTTATTTTTTTACTCCGATTAAAGTTTTTTTTTTGTTTGATATTATAAGGTATTAACGAATGAAGTAGGATCAGTTGAAAATAGGAATATTTGGATCATATTGCATGTAATTTCCATGCTACACATCTACACTTGATCTATGTCATTTGATTGTGTTGATGTACGTAACCATTGAAGATTTAGTTATGATACTTGTAACGAAAATCGATTTGATCCTATATTAACATAATTGATTGACGAGATTGTTTGGAGATGCTTTTGGTTACGATGGCAAAAGTTTTGACATAGAATTGAAAGACCACTTAAGCTATTTTATGACAATAAGTGAGCAGTCTTGTATTCCAATAACAATAAGAGTTCAACAAAGTCTAAATTTATAGACATAAAATTTCTAGTTGTCAAAGAAAGAGTTCGGTGATTAGGTTACTATAGAACATATTGGGACAAACTCCATGAAAGCAGATCAATTTACAAAAAGGACTACCACCCAAGGCCTTTCACGAGCACATCACTCACATGGGTGTTGTAAATTTTGATGATATGCTAGTTTAGTGAGAGTTTGTAATTTTGAATGTTGTTTTTCTTACATATGATTTTTGGTTGTGCACATTCAAGTTTATTTCAGTTCATTTCAATAATAAAGTATTCAATTTATTTTTATTTTTTTAATCTGATTAAAGTTTTTTTTTTTTATCTCATAAGGTATTAAAGAATAAAGTAGGATCAGTTGGAAATACGAATGTTTGGATCATATTGCAAGTAATTTCCATGCTACACATCTACACTTGATTATGTCATTTGATCGCGTTGATGTGCGTGACCAATGAGGGTTTAGTTATAATACTTATAACGAAAACCGCTTTGATCCTATATTAACATAATTGATTGACGAGATTGCTTGAAGATACTTTTGGTTATGATAGCAAAAGTTTTGGGCTCATATGTGGCCCAAGTAGGAAATTGTTGAGAAATTATTTACTTTGTCATGTGGGCAAACATATGTAATTAATTGTGTATAAATGTTATCTTAAAGTTAAGCCCAAAATTAAAGTGATCTAATAAATAATTAAGTAATTGGATTTTGGGCATCTAAATAAAGTGTGACCGGATTATACGTGCAGAGACCGGATCCATTAGGATTTTTATTTGACGATGGACCGAATACAAATGGAAACTATATATAGGGTTATGGTCCCCAATTCATATATAATTTTCTCATTTTTTTTGTGACGTCCCATCAACACAAGAATTAATAGAGAAAACATATTGAAGAGGAAGATCCAAAATTCACAATCAAGAATTAAGAAAAAAGATTGGAGCAATTAAATTGAAGAACAAGAAATCCAGATTTAAAGATAAAAAATTCAAGATTGAAGATTCATTATTCAAGATACAAATTAATGGATCAATGTATGTTCCGCATTGATTAATTTTCTTGGTGATTTGACATGGAGATCGTGACAATTCATAATATTTTATAAAGTTTAAATTTATGAAATTCAACAATTTTATGTACTTGCAAGGAGGGTGTTGAACAACATTTTAGATGACTGTGAATCATTGTCAAATGTTAGAACATGTTTTCATGAATAATGCTATCTAACACGAGTAATATTAAGCACCAATTCAGATGGTAGTGAAGACACTTTAATTATCTAATAAATTAAAATGTATCATTAACTTGGGTTAAACTGGTTGTACAGGACGGAGGGGCCACTGGTAGTAAATGACTCACCCAGCATGGTCCCATGAACTTCATTAAACAAGGTAAAACCCATGGCTGCACTCACCTAGACTCGTGCTATATCTACTGAACAATTGAATCAATAGACTCAAGGGAGTCTTAAATTGATGTTAAGCACTAGTAGTGTACATAACATCATTCACAAATGAATTCAATATGTACGTGAGAGATATGTTGAAGAAAATATTTAAATAAAAAAATAAATATATTTTTGTAATAATTTGACCTTTTAGATGATAGTCTAACTCGTAGATATGTATACACTTCTCCCTTAAATTGACACATCACCATCCTAGGCTAGGACAAGTAGGATACGTGAAATAGGGAATAACATGAATACATGATACATTTTTGACAAATTGAAACGGCGTCTTTTCTTAACAAACGAGAAACGGTTCGAATAGCAAATTTGAGCTCTGTATAACGATTGAATTATATAGAATGCAGTAGACATTATATTCTCATGTAACTTAATTAATTAAATATATAATACTAAGGAAGAATGAGCATGATTTATGACAATTTTTTTTATTAAAAGTTAAGAAAAACATAAACTGCAAGCAATACATGCATGCATGCTGTCTTCATTGTGATCGTCAATGGCTTCCGCCATTAACGTCATCGTTTACTACACCAAACTACCCTTACCTACCACAAGATAAAAACTCAGAAAAGCAAATACCAAAATTAAGAAATCTACCCCAAAATTCTGAAATTTATATATGTAGCTTATGTTGGGTTTATTAATTTGTCATGTGAGCCTACATATTTAATTAATTGTGTATAAGGCTATCTTATAGTTGAGTTCAAGTAAAGTGATCTAATAAAGAATTAAATTGTTGAGCTTATGACACCTAAATAAAGTGTGGATCGAATTATATGTGTAGAGAGCACATCTATTAGAGTTGTATTTGGCGATAAGCCATATACATATGGAAACTATAAATGGGGTTATGGTCCACAATTCATATGCAACTTCTCATTTTTTGGGTCATCACATCAACTCAAGAATACAAGAGAAAACATATTGAAAAGGAAGATCCAAAACCAACAATCAAGAACAAAAATTGAAAAAAAAAAAACAAGAATCAAGAAGAAGGATTGAAGGAATTAAATCAAAGAACAAGCCAATCAAAATTATATATAGAGCAAGAAGCCAAAATCAAGATCAAGAACTCAATAACCAAAAGATGCAATAATTAAGATTCAAGTATTAAAAAATTATTCCCAAAAAATTAAGGTACGTGCCACGTTATTAATTTTATTGATCATTTACATGGAGAATCTTGACAATAAAGTAGTTAGTTTTCAAGTTTCATAAAGTTTCAACAGTTTAGCCCCTCAAAACCTAAAGCAGCCCAAATGATGGTGGTGGTTGCTGAACTTGTGCTCTTTGTCAATCAAACCTTGAACAGATCGAAATTTCTCGACATGGCAAGGAAGAGTAATTGTGCCCTTTTGATCAAATCTATATTCTTCTTCTGCTTCTTTGAGCAACTGCATGAACAGTGGGTGGTTTAAGTAAATTACGGGAATTACAAATCTCTGCTGGTCTTCTCCTTGCCCAACCATGACAGCCAAACACCCTTTTGGCACATCTCGCGCTTGTTGTTTCTTTCCACCGTTATGGTGGAGCAGGTGGAGGTGTTTGTTAAGAAGACTCTTTTCTCCGCCGCCACCATCCATATCCACAGAAGGAAAGCGTAAACAATCAAGAAATCGCAATCCCTTGCTTTTTGCTGTGGTCAAAAGTTTACTGCTGCAGAGAAGAGAGATGGGAGTAGAGGAGTTACCAGGGAACCTGGAAAGTTGGTTATGGTAAATGCATAGGAAAATGAATCAAGATAGATTCTCAAATGTTTCCCAGCACACAGAGAGAGAGGTTATCTACGTACTTATATAGAACTATGATAGTCAGATCTATTTTCAAGTATTAATGAATTAAAATATAAGCAAAATTACAAAGATTTCCTCTAAAATTTCTGATATGTTCAAAGATACCCTTTCCCTTTCAAAAATTGCATAAACCTCCCTCTATTTGAAGTTATGAATGACATATATATCTCTTCATCACTTTTATTTTACATGTTAGAATAGATAATAGTTGTTCTAAAATACTCTTTATGAATTTTCTTTCATCTTGTGACTCCTTTAATAATAATGCGATACCTAAAGTACACTTTTAACACTTCTAATTAAATTAGCAACAAAATATTTCTCAGACAATCAACTCTTAAAAATGTATCAACTTATACCGTAATTTTATGTATTCAAAATTTCAAATACGCTTAAAGTTATGGCAAATTAGTGAGCATGGTTCATTTCAAGATCTTCAAGCAATGTCTTGTAATAGAATGATGTATGTGACAATTTATAAAAAATAAAAAGTATTGAACCAAAATTTTCCTTCATATACATTTTAATTGAAAACAACTTTCATCGCATGCATCGACATTTCTTGAATTAAGTAAAGATAGGCTATCAAAGTTGTTTAAAAGTTTCAAAGATTTTCGATGTGTATGTGATGAGTTTGTCTAGGAACTATAAATTGTTCTCATTTCTTTTCCATATATGTAAATGTATTTTTGAACACTTCAAATTAAAGTATCGTGTCGATGTATTTTTGAAGAATTGATAATTTAAAAAATATTTTGTTTTTGATTTAGTTAGAAGTATTAAATGGTTCGATGTTACATTAGTGTTAAAGGAGCCACAAGATGAAATAAAGTTTATTATGGTATTTTAGGCACTACTAATATTAATTATACTAATTAGTGAAAGAAAAGTAATGAGGGGAGATATAAGTTAGGGAATTTGGCGCAAATGGTCCCTAACATATGTTTCCTGGCAGTAACATCCCTAGGCACAACATAGTGTCACAATCTTGATCTTCAAATACTTTTATTTAATTGAGCTATTCGTTTATTAAGTACAAATATTATAGCTCAAAGTGCATTCTTCATATTTATCTTTATTAATGTTTTACTATAGATAATAAAGAACACATATATAATTTGTTAATAATTTTTTTATAGTACTTTTACAAATAAGAATACAATGAGATTGGTTGAATGACATAAAATTATATCTGTAATTTTGTTATTTATATTCGGGTTGTTTTCACATTATTGAAGCAATTACATACACCTAAAGCATAATAAATTAACTTTTTCCTACGTTTTCCTTGTGAAAATTTAATTAACAAAACTATAATGATATGTTTAATACGTTAAATCAAATATCATTAAATTATAGATTCGGAACTCATTTCACTACACCAAAAACTGCTTATGGCAACGTGCGAAAAACGTTGCCATAGACTTTTGGCAGCGTTCGGGTGCACGTTGTAGGATTCGATGTCGCCGTAGAGTTCCAACTTTTGGCAACGTTCAATGAACGTTGCCAAAGACCCTACGGCAACATTCTGTGAACGTTGCCATAGATCCTATGGCAACGTTACCCTGAACGTTGCTGTAGACACTTTCCGCAACGTTTAGCGAACGTTGCCGTAGGTCATTTTACATTTTT